GGCGATCCTGCAGCGCATCTGGCCCCAGCTCCTGCTCAGCTCAATGATTCGAGAGAATTTCTCCTTCACTGTCACCCCCCTGACCTCAGCGGAGGTGGAGACGATTGCTAACTTTGGAGGCAGTTCGCCGACGTCGGAAACGGAAACAGATGGCTCGCCGACCACTGAACCGCAGGATCTACTTATTGCCCGGTTAGGCACGGCTCACGCGCTGCTTAACCTCATCGAGACCGGAAATCAACTTTTGCTGGACACACAAGTCCTCGAATGCGTCAGGAAGTGCATTTTTGCCCAATGTAAGTGTTCATGTTAATGTGGGTTTTCAATACTTGTATTCGTACCATAGTCTAGGAATTGGGTTTGCTTGCTCAACAAACAGAACATTTAGCATTGCTGGCAACGACAAGTGAGACTAGAATGGCCATTTCTGGCTCATTAGCCGTTGTCAGCCAGTCGTACCCAGCACCAATTGATGCACCACCTGAGGCTCGAACTGGCGACCTTTTGATCAGAAGTCTAGTGCCTGAACCATCGAGCCACGGGCTCGTCTTGTCGGTTAAGATTGGGAAATATTGGCAGTCGTTGATTAACGTTCGCCGATCGCTAACAGAACTCATTAGTCTCGCTCTGCCCTGGGGCTCATTCTCAAGCCCCGTCAGCAGCCGCACAGCGGCTAGTAGTCTAGGCAGACAGCATTGCCGGCAACGACATTCCGACATTGCCGACAAACATTCAGCTCCATACTGAGATCTGTAAATTTCATAGTGCATCATGAAAAGTACCATCATATTGTAAAATTACCTCCACCGTTCCCCTCATGTCAAACTTCATTCGAAGGTATCGAGGCCCCTCCAATTCTAAGGGTTTGACCCTTTGCGCCGTATTACCGGTCCACATACGGTTGTCAGTACGCGATTTTCCCCAAAAAGCGCCAGAGGAAAACCACCACTGTTCTGTTCACTCTTAGTAAATTTTGTGCAAAATTAATCTCTTCGTGAGCTTTCCGCCAAAGATTGGTGTGCAGGGGCTAATGACCGTTGCTCGACGGTGTTCGAAAGGCAGATCAGTTTATCAGAATAAGACTGTCCTGGGCTGCAACCTAAAAATAAATTACAAATGATAACCTTGCTATTCCAGGATTAGGAGCCTGGCGAACGAGTTTATTTGAAAAACGAAATGGTGCGCAAGCCAAAGACTTGAGTTTCCTAATACAGAAAAAAACGTACAAACAACGTCCATTGTTACGTACGGGTGGAATGCAATGTTGGTCTTTATGAGAGAATGTGTTAAGAGAATTGCTTAACATTTTCACCCTTCGAAATGTGGAAATATGATAACATGGAAAACTGTACGAAACATTAGGCGGGTGGAGGTTGGTACTCTACTTAAATCTGTATTCTCGGTAGGCTTACACTTGTTTATCTCTCATTCCCTTAACTCATCCCACTCACTACGCCACTATCTCCGAAAAAGTCTAATTTTTATTAAACCATGTAACAAAACCCTTTAATCTTTATGACTTTATTCAAAATATCCGGAATTTACAAGTACTATTGAATAACAGAGGTTAGCGATATCTCTGACATAAGCTATGATCTTAATTGATGTGGGTTTTTATTTACTACCTGTGCCGTCAGTATAGTAAATAGTTACATGGCATATACTACTGATTGCCACCTTGTGAGCATTATGCCGTTGTACTATACCGAAGGGATCTGTTCCGATAGATTTACTCCAAATTCACGCATTAGTTTCCTCGGGAACTTGGCGCAAGTTTGTCTGCATTACCATTCTTTCCGTATTTCGGAAGTACTCCCGAAATGTTTGTGTGTGTGCGTGCGCGTGGGTTAGTAAAAGCCTTTATTTTAGCTATCTACTAACCTTACTGCAAAAGTGGAACCCCATGGGTCTGATTTTGACTGCTTTATTTTAAGTAAAAGTCTGGCAGTATTAAGCATCTCCTCCTCCTCCTCCTCTTCCTCTTCCTTTTTATTCTTCCCATTTCACTGCTCCTTCACCCTGTCGTATATTTCTGTGAACGACTGTACTTTATCAAAAAAACTACTATATCTTTGTCACAAGCCTCGGTGTTCGTAGCCCCTCTTTTTATGCACTCCTACTAATCACGTGTGCCATAAATTTCAGTGTCATGTCTGCCGTCAATGAGTTAGCGCGTTGTAATGGCAGTCTAGCAAACTTCACACTGCGAAATCCGCTAACAGGCTTTACAGATCGATACACCCTATGCGCAGTGCAAGGCTTTTTATCCGGATGTGCCTCTGTCCGTTGGTATGTGTGAGATTCAAAAAGGATTATAGTGCATTGTGAACCTCCCCCGGCCTCGCACTCAGCTGACTTGCAGTAGCGTAATTTGCAATGCTACTGGTTTTGCTATCCACTCATCTCGGAGTCAGGTGTATAACTCTTAATTGATCTGCTAAATCCCGATCCATGAGCGTGTCACGTATGTCACTTCTCTCGATCTGGAACAAATCCGCTAGCGGTTCCTGGCGGAGCCTCGTAGCGCAGGAGACTAAACGTGATATAATTTTATGTACACCCTTAATAGCTGGTTTTTCGAGTCTCTCACTAGCATAAAATAGATGAAAGACTAGGCCTCCTTCAAGGTTTATAGCCTACAGTTTCACCCGTTTGAGTATTATAGAAAAAATCATTTGCACACACGGTCGACTGCAGTACGCCACCGCCTTATGTTGGCTGCAAGACCTGAAAGGTGTAGAAAACTTTAAAATTAACCTTTTACACACCAACTCCATCTTT